GCGCTGCATGTGAGGCTGCTGCGCGGCTGGCGCGTATGTTTCCGTGCGGTGAGGGACGCGCGTATGTGTTCACGCTGCGGGCGCGGGCGGGCGCGGGGGGCGGCGTGGTCTCACCGCAATCCGACGTCGGTTGGTCTTCGGCGTGACGAGGGCGGGCGAGCAGAGAGGCCTGCCGCCATCGCGTTGCCGCGAAGGAAAAAGTCTTATCCTAACGGTGTGGGGGCGCGGAGGGCTTGTTGGCGAGCCAAAATGGTGTTTTCCGAGGCGCTGCGCTAGGCTCAGAGCGAGTTCGCGCTGCGCTAGGCTCAGACGGCGAGTTCGCGCTGCGCTAGGCTCACAGATGGCGAGTGCGCCGCGATAGATTTGCGCTGCGATGAAAAGACCCCGTTATAGGAGCCGATAACCCAAGGGTGCAAGGGAGGAATCGGCGCGTTTTCTTCTTGCGTCCAACTCCGGCAGTGTTGGTCCACCAGCATGGCAGCCTCGAGCGACCTGCATGCAGGCTCTGCAGCTTCAGATTCGGAATCTGGAGCAAAAGATCGACTTCCAGCACAGGGAGATCAAAAAGCGCGACATGCACATTCGCGATCTCCGCAACGCCGGCCACGTCGCCGACCTCGAGCGCCTCGAACGGTCGCTCTGCCGGCTCTCGCTGCAGATGGAGCACATGCAACTCGTCATTTCATACCTTTGCGATGCCGGAGACCACCGCCTCCTCGGCGCACACGATCTTCGTCCGCCCGCCCAGCGGGGACCGGATCGAGGTCACCATTCCGCCGGGCAAGCAGCCCGGCGAGGTCTTCACCGTCATGCTCGAGGACAAGGACGCGTACCCGCCGGACTGGCCGTGGCACGCGGCGCCGCCCGCGGCGCCCGCGCACTCCGCGCCGCCGCCGTGGGCGGAGGAGCAGCAGCAGGAGGAGGAGGGCGAGGACGGGGAGGAGGGCGCAGGCGAGGAAGGCGCAGACGAGGCGGCCCTCCGGAAAAAAGCCAAGGCCGAGCGGCGCAAGGAGCACCGCGGCACCCGGCACGCCGCGGCCGCGGCGGCAGGCCGCGTGCCCGGCCAGCATGGCAACCCAAACTGCCGCGCGCGGCCGGCAGAGCCGGAGGGAGGCGCGGCAGGAGGTCCCTCCTCCTCGCGCATGGCTGCGGAGTGAGTCCCGGAGGTGTGCGCTGAGAGGTGTGCGTGTGCAGTGGTGCACCGGAGAGGTGAGGCTGAGGGCGGGACCGGGGCGGGAGGGGGCTAGCGAGCCACTCTTGTGAGTGTGCGGCGCCACGCCTCACGAGGTCTCCGTTTTTATTCATTTATATTTTATACCACGCGCACGCCGTCCCCCTCACTCACAGTGATCAGATTCAGACACATCAGTGTCACACACACGTCACAGCTCACCACCACACGGCCCTGTGTGTGCAGTGTAGAGCTGTCAAACGTTAAGAGCTGAACAGTGTTGCTAGTGTTAACAGTAACAACAGAACAACAGTGGGGCTCCCCAACAACAGTAGCTAACGTTAGGCCAGCTGAACAACAATAAGGAAGGCCTGGCAGTGACCCACGACGATCTCCAGCGTCCAGTGCGGGTAATACCCGAAAATACCTGGAAAACCCCAGGTATTTTCGGGTTTTACCCGGATTTTTTGGCATTTTCTGCTTGCTGACCACTGAACAACAGTAACTGGTTGGCCCTCGCAGCTGTGATGATACAACACAAAAGTGTGGACCGCCTGGCGGCGCGCCCCCAAAAAGAATTCTTAGGGTGAGCCTGTCAGGAAAATTCTTTTTCCTTCGCGGCAACGCGATGGCGGCAAGGCCTCTCTGCGCGCCCGCCCTCGCCACGCCGAAGACCAACCGACGTCGGACCGCGGTGAGACCGCGCCGCCCCCCGCGCCCGCCCGCGCCCGCAGCGTGAACACATACGCGCGTCCCTCACCACACGGAAACATACGCGCCAGCCGCGCAGCAGCCTCACATGCAGCGCCGACCGCATGCTCGCGCCCTGGGCCGCCGACGACCCGGTCGGGCGGGCTGCGCGGCCGCCGTACACCATCAGGCAGGCGCGCGACCACCCGCAGCACGCCGCAGCCCACCGCGCAGCCCTGCCAGCCAAAGCTGCGCCTCCCAGCTGCACAAACAGGCGCACAACAGAGCACAGCGCACAGCACACGCCGGCGCGCGCGCAGCACACGCAGACGCACGCGCGATTCCAACACGCACACGCGCACAGCACGCGCGCATCGCACGCCAGCGCAGCGCCGCACACAGAGCACACTTGCCCACATCAGCAGCAGCCAGCCTGCCACAATCCTCATCTCACACACGCGCGCGCACGCACACTCCCCACGCCGGCGCACGCATTGGGCGTCGCCGAGAGGAACCAGAAGAACCAGAGAGTCGGCTTGAGGCCGTGAGGGATCCAGATCTGGATCCCTCAAGGCCTCACAAGCCGACTCCCTCAAGGCCTCAAGGCATCAACCTGGCTCCTTCCAGGCATACCTAGCCCCCTTCAGGCACCAACCAGAATCTTCCCAGGCATTATCCTGACTCCATCCAGGCAGGAGCTGGCTGCACCTCGCGATATCCCGCTCCATCTCGCCTAATCTCGCCCCATCTCGTCTAATCTCGCCTCGCCTCGCCTCATCTCGCCTCATCTCGCCTCATCTCGCCTCATCTCGCCTCATCTCGCCTCTCATCTCACCTCATCTCGCCTCATTACGCCGCACGACGTGACCCGAGATCGACCCGAGATGGACCCGGGATCGAACCGAGATCGACCCGAGATCGACCCGAGATTGACCCGAGATTGACCCGAGATCGACCCGAGATCGACCCGAGATCGACCCGAGATCGACACGAGATTGACACGAGATCGGCCAGAGATCGACCCAACGAGGCCCCTCTGGGGGGGAGATTGACTCAACAAGGCCCCAAAGCCCCCTCTCTGGGGGACCCCTCCCCCCCCACCCCGAGTGTCCGTGTCCTTCGCGAGTCACCGATGGGGAGCGGGGGGGGGGGTGCGAAAAACGAACAGGGGAGGCTGGGGAGGGGGGGGTCCACTCTGAAGACAGCCGACCGCGGAGGGGTTTTGTCCCACAGGGTTTTACCCTCCGCGTGAGGATCGGCGCGGCGAGGGGGTAGGCTCGAATTCGCCGCGCAACATTTCACCCCCACAGGACCCCGCCCTCCCCCCCTCATTGGTCCCACCACCCAGAACCCCAACCTTGGCTTCGCACCCCCTCCTTGCGCAGTGTCCCCCGCTATGTGTTCGCCGTCTTCGGGGCACGCTATCCTGTGCAGTCAGGGCAAGTGGGGGCGAGGCGCAGTCCCTCTGGTCTATACTGGTGTGGTTCTGTCCCTAGTCTCGGAGGGGGGCTTGAAGGTAAGAATATTTTATTTTTTTTCCTATCAACGGTGACCCGCGGGACTTTTTCACGAAACTCTAAACCATCAGCTTGGGCACCATCAGCTTGGGCACCATCAGCGGTTTGGTTGGGTGTCGTGAGTGCTTGCAGCCGCGAGTGCAGCACCGTTTGTGACTCCCATGGATGCAGTTGGGTGGGGCACGGTGCTGGGGGGCGGTCCGGTGCACCACAACAGCCTCCCCGGCTGACCCCCATCCAGTTTCGACACCTCCATCCATCCTGAGACCTGACTGACCGACCGTGGAACCCCAACTTCAACCGGTCATATCTCGGGCGGACTGGCACCTCAGGAGCTCATCCTGGGCGGTTTGGGGGAGTCGCGGGGGTGTAATTGAAGGTGGTAAAAAGAGTTTTGCACCGCAGCTTAACCCAGGGAAAAGAAAGAAAGAAAACAGACAACCCAAGGGAGGGATGGGAGGAAGGACGGCACGCCGCCACCACACAGGGATTTTAAGGAGAGGTGTGTGGTGCGCTATCCGTCGCCCACCCTAGGGAGTCTGCCTCTTCCTATCTCTCTTCGCAGTCTCTCGCCGATTCTCGCTGCTTAACCCAGGGGCGTCCCTGAGAACGAAAGTGAATTCTCCCCGCCTGTGGCGCGCCCAGTGGCGACGCCGCGACTCGCTGCGGCAACCAGACATGCGACTGCTAATCGCATCGTGCGCCTCGCACCGGCTCGCGCATCGACGATGTGCGATCCACATGGAGGCGGCGCCCGGCCGAGATCTCTCCTTCCGGGTGCGCGAGGCGTTGCTCGATGCCGAGGAGCAGCCCTACACTGTCTGGTCGGAGCCTGGTTCGGACCGTCCACTGCGGGCAAATCTGGACCTCCTTGTCTTTCGCGGGCGCACACTCGCGCGGCGCGGCGACAAAGACGGGGCTCGCGCCACCTACCTCCGCTGCGTCGCACTCGACCCGCTGGACGGCCGCGGGTGGCTCGCCCTCGGGCGCCTTAGCGAGCGCGATGGCGACCCGGACGCCGCGATCGCGATGATCGAGCGCGGCCTCGCGCACAACGCGGGCAACGCCTACCTCTTGCAGGCCGCGGAGCGCCCTCTCCCTCCTCCTCTTCCCCACGCCAGCACTCGCCCGCCTCGTGTGTCAGGCGGCCGGTGCTAACCCTAACCCTAACCCTAACCCTAACCCTAACCCTAACCCTAACCCTAACCCTACCCTCGTGTCGCAGGCGGCCGGTGCGATCCAGGAGAGGCGGGGCAGCACGGACGAGGCGCTCGATCTCTACGCGCGCGCCCTGCGCAGCGACCCTCGCCACGCCCCCTCCTGGGTCTCGGCCAGCCTGCTGCTGCAGCGCCGCCGCAAGGAGGGCGCCGCCCGCCGCTGCCTCGACCTGGCGCTCGCCTGCGCGCCTCGCTCATACTACGTGTGGCAGGTGAGCGGCTAGGGGAGTGGAGGTGCGGGAGCGGGGGAGGGTGAGTCGCTAGTAGCCACTCCGTGCGGCGGGCGAGCCGGCCTCCTCTCGGACCGCCTCGTCAGACCGCCTCGTCTGGCCGCCTCGCCACCGCTCAGCTGCGCCTCCTCCGCCCAGGTGAGCGGGCAGTGGCACCGGCGGCAAGGCCAGCTCTCGAGCGCCCGCGAGGTGTCGCTCGCTGCGGCTGGAGACGGGCTAGTGCACGGTGAACTCATTGCGCGTTCACTGTGATCATCGACTGTGATCAGGCCTTCCGCCGCTCGCTGCAGCTCAACGGCGCCAACGTCGCGACGCTGCACGCGTGGGGCGTGCTCGAGTGGCGGTGCGGGCACACCGACCTGGCGGCGACGCTCTTCCAACAGGGGCTGCACATCCAGCCGCACAACAAGTACCTCCTCCAGTCGTGGGCTTGCATGGAGGCTGGGCGGCGAAGCCTCTCCCGCCTTTCAGCCCCGAGAGCCCCGGCCGCACCCTTGCCTTTGCCCAACCAGGCGCGCTGTGGCTCCGCAGCGAGCGCCTCGCGCCTCTTCGCGGTCGCGGCGAGGAGACGAGCCGCGGGCCTTCCGCGACCCTCCCACGACCCTTCTCGGACCCTTCCTGCAGGCCGCGGCGAGGAAGCAGTCTGCGGACGGCGCCGTGTGGCAGGCCCTCTATCTCCCCGTATCTTCCCATGTCTCCCCATGTCTCCCCATATCTCCCTGTATCTGCGGACGGCGCCGTGTGGCAGGCCCTCTATCTCCCCGTATCTCCCCGTATCTCCCCATGTCTCCCCATATCTCCCCATATCTCCCTGTATCTGCGGACCGTGTGGCAGGGCCTCTCGCTCCCGCCGAGGACATCTCCCCATATCTCCCCATATCTCCCCATATCTCCCCATATCTCCCGCCGAGGAGATATGCCCGCCGCACGCCCCTCACGCGTCTGTGCGGCGCGGCAGGCGAGGGGGATGCACTACCGCGCGCAGGGAGACGTCGAGAGGGCGCGGCGCGCCTTCGCCACCGGCTGCAGCCTCGAGCCGACGCACGCTTCACCCTCTGCCGCGGGCGGGGCTGGGGAGGCGTGCATGACGTGTCCGGGACCCGTCCCTCAGGCACACGCCGCTCTTTCACGCGTGGGGCTCGATGGAGGCGGAGGTCTCCAACGTCACCGCCGCGAGGGCGATCTTCCAGCGAGGCGTGTGCGGGAGCGGACCCCCCCCCCCCCCCCGGGAGGACCAAACACTCACCGTACTCCGCCTGTCCCTGACGAGGCGTGTGGGAGCGGCCGAGCCACCCGAGGACGGTCGGGCTGTGGGTGAGCTGGGCGTTGCTCGAGGAGCGGTGCGGCGACCTCAAGGCGACGAGGGGGTGCCGCCCCCCGCTCTTCACACCCCTCTCGCCGTGACTCGCACCCCTCCTCCTCGAAGGCTGCGAGGGAGTACCTGCGCGCCGCCCTGCGCGCCGAGCGCTTCTGCGTCTTTGCGCGTGCTGCGTGGGCGGCGCTCGAGGCGCGGCAAGGCGACTGCGCCGCCTCTCGCCAGCTGTACGAGGACGCGCTCCGCATCGACCCCGCCAACCGCGGCGTGTGGTCCTCATACGAGGCGATGGAGCGCGCCGCGCGCAGGCCGGCCGCCGCGGACCTCATCCACGCCCGCTCGCGCCGGGCGGCGGACCTGGCGGCCTCCGGTCTCGGCGGGACGGCCCCGCTGCCCGCAGGGCTCGAGCAGGCGGCGCGGGCGGCAGCGGCGGCGGCGGCGCGGGCCGGCAAGCAGCCGAGCTTGGAGAGGACGCTGCGCGAGGAGTACGGCGATTTGGGGGAGGCGGCCTGACAACACGGGCCGCCGGCGGAGCCCGGGGGGGCGCATGTGGTCCATGGTTGGGCTTGTGGAACAAGTTACGGTACAGGCGGCGCGGGTGCGCTCACAGGCTGTACGAGGGGGGGGGGGGGGGGGGGAGTAGTAAGAAAGAAAGAACGAAAACAGACAACCCAAGGGAGGGATGGGAGGACGCCACGCCGCCACCCGAGGTTGGAATTCTTTTTGCGTCTGTGCCGCGGAGAGTCATGTGCACGCCCGAGGACGTGGACATCAGTGGCGCGCTGGCGTGGGCGGAGGCCATCCCGAGGGCGCCCAATGGACGCATGCGAGCGTGGCTCGACGTGGAGGCGGACGCTGCCGCGGGCGTTCCGCGGAGCATGCTGTGGACGGCATCGCTCGTGCTGCTCCGCCACCTCGAGGCGGAGCACGCGCCGGGGCACTGGCGCGGCAAGCGAGTGCTCGAGCTGGGCGCCGGGATGGGACACCTCTCGGTCGGCCTCTCGCGGCTCGGGGCAACCGTCGACGCGACCGAGGCCGGCGGCTCCAACTCCACGGGCGACGGCCTCGCGGCGCTGGCGGCGTGGTCGCGCCGCCTGCTTGCAGAGCGTGACGGCGGCGGCGTCGCGGTGGGCGACGACGGGCGGCTATCGGCCGGACTCGCCGCACACGGCGGCACGCTGTGCACGCGCGAGCTGTGGTGGGGCTCTGGCGACGGGCTGTCGCGGGACTTTGAGGAGGGATACGACGTCGTCGTGCTGTCCGAGCTCGTGTTTGAGGAGGAGCTGCACGGCGCACTCGTCGACACGCTCGGCCGCGCGCTCCAGCCGGGGGCGGTCGCGTACTGCGTCTTTTGCGACCGCCCGTTCTCGCAGCTCTTCTTTGTAGAGCTGGCCGACGCCGAGGGGCCGCCGTACGAGGTGGAGGCGGTGGAGCCACGGGAGCTGCTCGGCATGGACACCGAACACGAGGAGCTCCATCTTCACCGCTTCACGAGGCCTCCGAAGGCGACCACCGCGTGACGGGGCTCGGGGGTCACCGACTCACCTTTTCGATGCTCTGACAGTTTTCCCAGTGATGAACCGTTCTGACCACTGACGAATGTCGAATCTGACCGGCCGTAGTATCCGATAATCCCGATAAAAAAGTTCGGGCGGCAGGGTTCGGGCTCCATGCGGGATAGCGGGGCTGTTCGATTCGCTCGATCTCCCACGAGGAGCGCACTGTCCCATACCCCGCAAAAAGTCCGAACCCATCCCGCTATCGCGACGGCGCTGGCCAGGGCCCCTGGGCCCCGCGACGGCAGAACCATGAAGGAGGACGCTGTCTTTGCCCTCATATTCGTGGCGTCGCTCGGTATCGGTTATCTTCTTCCCTCCGTAGACGCCGCGTCGCGCAGCGGAGCAGCAGGCGCCCTCGGCGCGACGCTGGTTGCACTCGCGTGTGGTCTGCGATGGGCGCTCTACCCGCTGCTGACCATCATGATCACCGCTGCAGCGCTTGCGTTTGCGCCCCGGCGACTGCACGGGCCGCTCTGCTTCGCTGCGGCCTTTGGATCGCTCGCCGTGCTACGGCTGTGCGACTCGCCGCCCGGCGCGGCAAACGCAGTGCAGCTCGTCCTCACGCTGCGCCTCGCGTCGGTCGGGTTCGACTCTGCCGACGGGGGTTTGCCATGCAACCAGGGGCCGCTCCGCCTCCTGCAGTACGCCTTCTGCTACCATGGCCTCTTCTCGGGCCCGTTTTACCCGTGGGCCGAGTGGGCCGCAGCCATGGGTGCGCCGGCGGGCGTGCCACTGCAGCCGGCGGAGCGGAGGCAGGTGTGGTGTGCGGTGCGCGACGCGGCAATCACGCTGTGCGTCTGGCGAGGCGTGGCTTGGCTCACCCCCTACGCGCGGCTGTCCGAGCCTGGCTGGGCGGCCCAGCCACGGCTGTGGCGGCTGTGCTACTTTTACCTCTCGTCCTTCCAGTTCCGCTTCCGCTTCTACGCGCGCGCGAGGGGGCGTGCGAGGGCAGCCCCGTGCCACCGGAGGCGAGCCCGTCCGGAGCGGCTTGCTGTAGGTTTGTGTGCGAGAGAATGTCCAAGCCGCGAGCGGCGAGGGAGAGGCGTTCTCTCGCTCCAGACCAACCCCCCCACCCCCCTCCTCCGCCGCCGCCTCCTCCCCCTCCCCCGCAGGCGTGCTGGAGCCTGGTCGAGGCCGCAGGGGTGCTGTGCCGCTTCCCGCACCCGTCAAACGTCTCGCCGTGGGAGTTGCGAGACTGCAACCTCGCCGTCGCTCATCATCGCGTCTTGGAACGTCTCGTTGCAACCGCCC